GCCAGGGCCGTGCAGGGCGTGAAATAAGCTGGGTCATACGCGGAAGAGGGCCCCCCAACCACGTAAGGGGAAGGAACATGATCCAATGGGAAAGCAAGAGGTGTAGTGATTAGTGTAACAGGGTTCTAGGTATGTGTGTATACCTCTATATCTATATATATATATATATAGATATAGATATATAAAGATATAGATAGGTATGTATATGTATATATGTGAATAGAGGGTTAGGATGAACACAGGAACATAATTAAGCTAGGAGGTGTGTGAAGAGGCGCAACAAGTTAGGAAGAAGGAAAAGTAAAATAAATAAATAAAAAGACCTTTGTGAGTATTGAAATGCCTAAGATGGGGAATCACTACGTCAAGCGTAATTCTTTGCGTGCAACGTTCTTCTTTTATTTTCTTTGTGGGGGAGAGGGGGTGGATGGAAAGAAGGGAAAACAATTGGAACGGTATTACTCTGTAAGGATAAATACAAATATGCAATAGATAATTTGACCTTTTTTTTAGAATGTAAAAAATAAATAAGAAATGGAATCAAAAAGGTAAATAAAAATAACCTGAAAGGGCCATTTTCATCACCTAGACTCTCACCTTATTCATTCGTTAAGAATTCGCTATTCTCTTCATTGATTATCTTCCTTCTCCGTTAATAGATTAATCTGATAAACAGTAATGAAGGTTATCTTTGAAGAATGATTATCACAGAAAGAAGTCATCGAAACTCCAAACGGTTTATTAAATGAAAAGTTGCTATGCGAGCAGCTAACAATTGCAGCAACCAACATAAGTAACAAAAGGAATGTATTATAAAGATAAATAAAAGCATAAGCGTATCCCATTCAAATATTGAAAATGAATTAGGGGTAGGGAAAGGATCCTCTGAATGGTGTACTCATCGCTTAACCCCTTATGTTTTATTTGATAAAAAATTCCATAGGCAAATATGCTCATATAGGCATTTATAAAATGGTGCGTGTGTGATTCTATTAATTTACGTTAACTCAATTCTACAATATCTATAGAGCCATCGTTTCCGGCGTCAATGTCTTTACCTTGGCTTGAATCCACATCCACTACGCTATCAGGATCGAAATTGACAGAAACCATATGTTTATTTTCTTTATCCTCTTCGTCTTTAGCTTTGATCTCAGCCCTCTTCTTTTCCTCGAGCCTTGAAAGTGCAACAGCCTCGCACGCCTTAGCCTCCTCTAAGCCTTGCAAGGAAAACCTCAAACCAGGGGGTGTCGGAGTTTCCATGTTGTTAGTCGATTCACCAGTCGAATGGAAGACATGCTCGACAATTACCTGCCATTCCACATCCTTGTTCATCCCATCGACCAACATCACTAGCTGCGCGTATCCCTCTACGCAACCCTTCCCACCCCCTGAAGCAATATCCTTCATAATTCCATCACAAGCGAGGGTGCTTAGCAAGGATCCTTCGTTTAAAACCCGTTCATTCTCAGAAAAAGACTCCTTTATCTTCGGACGCGCAAAAAGAGAAAGCGGGGAACCCGCCAAATCCTCATAATCGTCGTCCTCGTAAATCAAAGAGGTCCCGCAGGCGACAGATGGACACTCGAACTGAAGAATATTCTCTACTATTTCCTTCACGAAATCCCCTAAAGTAGTGTGCTCGACATCCAAAGCTACATGCACCTCAGGCACCAGCCGCTGACAAACTACACAGAGTGGATTCGGCGGACGAGGTTCCACGGTATGGACGAGATAATGTCTCGTTGAAGAATTTATCACCCCCGCATTGTCATCTATACGATAGCGCTTAGTGGAACTGCTATTAATAGCATGCACATTTTTATAAGAAGAAGGGAAAAATGCCTCGTAGCTTTTCAAAATCGATGATTGATATTGCGCTTTTTCCTCTTCCATACGACAACGTCGAATCTGTGGTACTTTTCGTACATAAACATTTTGGCATCCAAAGCTTTGCTTTTCTTTCTGTAAATATTCCTTCTTTTCTTCCTTTTTAGAAGAATGCTTTAGTATTTTAATAAGCTGTTGTACAGCCCCTGCGGCAACAATCGCATTTGTTGTGGCTATTGCCGGTACGATCGCCCCTGCGATTGTACGTAAAGCCTCGACAGATTCTACTGAAATATGAAAAACATGCGCGCGAAGGTTGGCAACGGCAGCAATAAAATCCACCGCAGTGTCGTCATTCTTCGAAAAGCCAACAAATATGTCCTCATTATCACCGTTGTCAGCAGTAGAAGAAAGAGAAGAGGTTTCTTTAGCCCTACTGCACATTCGATAATATATTCGATACATACAACGCGCACAGGCAGAAATAAACAACCGAATAGAATCTGTTGTTGGCAAAACAGAATCCCGCGAAATAATGCTTGGAGAGGGGAGGGATTCATCGTTCATTGTATTGTTATCAGAAAAAGAGCAAGAGGATGCCTTTATAGCATTTTTGACATCCTCCACACTAAACAACGCGCTGGCGTAACGAATAAAAGCAACTTTTAGTGAAACCGGCGGGGCAGTCGGCCAGTTGGATTTCATATCGAGAAGCTCTTCGACTTTATCGTGGTAAATCCGCTCTATTAACCTTTCACCCAAGTGGTGCAGCTGCAAGGCATCATCATCTTCAATGACAGTGAGATCCTTGTGCATTGATAAAGGGGAATTCACCTTGGCGGCGACGGATGGCCACCAAGAAAAAACTTCGCGAAGATACCTAAAATTACCGCCCTTTTCTTCGTCAGTAAACTGCGTTGTCGAACTCTTAGGTTTACTCTCATCCTGGGTTGTGCTTCTCGTCTCCCCCTTGTTTTCTCGCATCGAAGTTCCTTTCCCTTCCCCTACTTCTGATCCCTCCCACAAATGGTGAGCCTCCCATAAAAAGGAGTTCTCGCCAAACAAGGCCTCATAGAGTTCCTTCGCGAAGTGTACACAGTGTACGATTGTAGTTGGTCGCGCGTGGATTGTGCAGACCGCAAAGCTCGGCCGACCCGCCTGTCGTGGATAGCAATCATAGCATTCATAGCTTCCAATCGCAATCGCCTGGACCTGTCCATTATAGCCCATCGTCCCGCTCTCAATCAACGGGACGTGGGCCTGCATACAGAGCCGATTCACCCACTGCCGCGCGGCGACGTTGTCGAGGGCGTTTAATACCGCACCGAATCTCCTGTAAAACTCCACCCCAAATCGCTCATCGTGAATATCCGCGTCGTGGGCGATCACCTTCGTCGGAGAATCCAACTCCCTTTTCGTAGCGGCCTCGTCCGAGTCATTAACGCCCCCTTGCCTCGTCGGGGAGCGAAATCGCCGTGGGCGGGCCGCGCGCCAGCCCAGCACCGCCGCCCGCGCAACCCGCGACTTCGCCTGCCCGACATCCCCCGGGGTGAAAAGAAATTGCCGATTGAGGTTGGTCGCGTCGACGACATCGCGATCGACCACCTCGATATGGCGGACCCCTGCCAGGATGAGCAGCTTGAGCAGCTCACAGCCGATGCCACCCGCCCCTACGAGTAACACAGGCCGCGTGCGGTCCCA